TCGCTCTTTCTAATCTCTATATCACTCTCTTACCACTGTTGCTCTCTACTGATACCACTACTATTCACCATAGAACTCTTTCTCCATTGTCTTCATAGCCACCATCATCGTCTCGTCCACGACCTCAGATTTGAGGTCATTTACAGTTGTCGTCATCGAAAAATGACAGCTCGCGAACCTCAGATCTTAAATTCTTCATTCTCTCTCTCTCTCTCTCTCTCTCTCTCTCTCTCTCTCTCTCTCTTTGTGTGTCTGTGTGTGGGGGGAGGGGGGGTTCTGACGATTCGTGTTTTGTGTATGTGTGTCACTTACTATTTATGCTCTCTTTCACTCTCTTTCGTTTTTTTTTTCTTCTTCTTCTTTTTCTCATGATGCTCTATTTTCGAATTCTCTCTCTCGAACTCTCTCATGATGCTCTGTTTTTCAAATAGTAAAATTTTACGCTAGTTCATGGCATAACCCTCTCCTGTAAAGCCACCCTTGCAACATGTTTTGAAGTAAATTTTATTATGATTCAAAATAAAATTTTGCTATTGTTAAGCAATTCAGCAATCAAACTTTATTTTCATTAACCAGAAAAAATATAATATATACTAGATCAAGGAACCAGAGTCGAATTCTACTTTTAGATTTATGAACAAACAAACAAACGAAATTTCACATTTTTCTGTCAACTTTGAGTTTATTTATCTCAGATTTGAAGTTATTAATCTCAAATATAAATTCGTAAGTATCAAATCTAAGATGATGATAATTGACGGTAAAAAGAGTGGCCGTCAGCCGACGGTGAGAATAAGCAACAACAACCAACGATAGAGATGGTGGAGATGATTTTGAAAATATTTTATACAAGGCTTTATAATTATAAAAAGATTTTGAAAATACTATTTTATTTTATTTTTTAATTCTTCTAACAAGAAAAGAGAGCCAAAAAGGATTTATAACCAAATTTTTCAAGAAAGATCGATTTCGACCGGCATACAAGTGGTTAGGGTTGAGAGTTGTTTTTGTGTCTTATGGCACAGTAGTCCTATTGTGAGGGTTTATAGAGATATTTATCAAGTGTATTTTGATAATTTAAACCGTTTATATTATAAGGTTTGTTGAGTATATCATTTATATAAAAAATCAAATTAATTGAACGTCTGTAATTCCATGATCAAATCTTAATTGTTCCTAAAAAATTATTAAAATCATAGTAATTGTTTATTTTTTAGAAAATAAATATGCTCTTATTATGAGATTATTGATGTCTAATTTACTTAATTTTTTGTATAAATAATTTACTTAACGAATTTTACAATATAAACCATTAAAATTATTCCAAAAAAAAAAAAACGAGTTTCGTATCGCCAATTCTCACGTGACTATCTTGAAACAGTACCGTTAGTTTTAATTCTCGAACCGCCCGCGAAAGAAGGGTGAATTAAACCATGGTTAAATTTAATTGGTTAAGTTTAGATTTCATTGTTTTTTATCGCAGCCGGCTTTAACCGCGGTTAAGATATCCCTATCTGTGATGATCTCTTCACCCCCCGCCCTTCCTATTTAAGCAAGAGCCCTCCTGGAACGCAGCCCCACAGGTTTTGAATTTGGGGCGTCTTCATAAACGCTTCCATATTTCTATCTCTTTCTTCTTCGTCTCTCTCTCAATCAATTCTTATATATTTTGGATTTCTCTTAAAACTCAAATCGAAAATGAGAGAGTGCGTTTCGATCCACATCGGTCAGGCCGGTATTCAGGTCGGCAATGCCTGCTGGGAACTTTACTGCCTCGAGCATGGCATTCAGGTATGTATATGTCTTTGTTAAGATCTGGCCTTTTGATATCAGTTGTTTTATGCAAATTCCATTTCTAGGTCTCTGATTAGTATTCACAATGGTTTCGTTTATGTTTATGTTTATGCTTATGTTTGTTTGATTCGCTTGTGTCTCTAGGATTTCTCATCATTAATGTGATCTACTAGATCTGCCATATTTTGTTTTAATTTTGAATCTTTGTCGCATTTTACTATTTCTACTTCTTTTGCACGATCATGATATGTGCATGACTGAGTCATTTCACCCTCATTTTGGTGAATCTAAGGTTCAGTATGCACGCTAACTAGCAATTGCTTGTATGTTTTTCTTCGTGGAGGATCTGCTAGATATTGCCATTTCTGTTTGTTTGAAATTGTCCTGTCTGGACTTGTCATTGGTTTTGTTTAGGAACATGGAATTTGTTGTGTTTGTGCATTCCGGTACCTTTCATTGCGTTTTACTGAATTTGGTGTTGTACCATGATATGTTAAGTATCCCTCAGATGCCTATCATTCCAAAGATGTACAGGTCTAAACTTTTACTGTGTTATTATGATACACATTGATAAAGTAATGTATGATGATGTCAATGGATTGAAATACCCTATGACTTTGTTTTCTTAATTTTATCTATTTCAGTTGCAGTTTTACCACCCAGAGAGAGAGAGAGAGAGCGAGAGAGAGAGAGAGAGAGCAAGTAACTTTATAATTGTTTTCAATGATGAGATTCTAATTTTTTTTTTCTTTCATTTGATTTTCACCCGATTTTTCAAGAGATGTTTATTCGGTGTCTTGATGTGCAATTAAATCGGTGATCACATTTCATATGTGAGCTCCACCACCACCACCAAAGAAAAAAAAAGATGATTATTAAAGTCTATTCCCAATTGCTTTTAATTTATTCAATGCATGTTTTCCATTTTCTCACGTTGTTGGTCCATTCTTATCTAATATCTCTCTCTCTCTCCCCCCCATTATTTGCCTCAATCTGAACAAACTATTCAGAATGAATTTGCAAAAATGTGACCAACTTATGAAAATTCTTGCAGAATTTAATTTTCTGTGTTTGCTTAATTTAGAAATTTTATTCTGCATGTGTATTCTTTTTTCTTCTTTTTTTTTTCAGTCTAATATTTACTCAAGTATGGCTGATACTGCTGCTTGTGTATTGAGTGCATTATGGCCTCATTTGGAAAGTTAGCTATTTTAGTAGGCTAAAATATTTGTATTTAGGAAAATGGTTTGATTTTTTTATATTTAGATATGATATTTGTGAGAGGAAAAGTAAAATGATTATGGATTTGATGTGACATTTTGTCTTATTGACTATTTTAACTTATTTTGTCTTTTTGTGCATTTTAGCCCAAAAAGCAAAAAAAAAACCTTTGCCAAACAAGGCCTATGTTTGGAACTGTATCCATTGTATTTGGTTGGGGAAGACTAGAATTGCAAGGAAGTTGTCTGTTAGTAATTGTTGAATACTTCTGGTTCTGTCTTGTTTTTTGTGTTCCATGACTGAAATTGAATTTTTTGTATATTTTTCCTGATTTATATAAGGATTTCTTGTATCTTTTTTTGATTTGTATTTTTCTTTTTTCGTCTTTGTCAGCCTGATGGCCAGATGCCTTGTGACAAGACTGTTGGAGGAGGTGATGATGCTTTCAACACCTTTTTCAGTGAAACTGGTGCTGGAAAGCATGTTCCCCGTGCAATTTTTGTAGATCTTGAGCCCACTGTCATTGATGAGGTGAGGACTGGAACATACCGCCAACTCTTCCACCCAGAACAGCTCATCAGTGGCAAGGAAGATGCCGCTAACAACTTTGCCCGTGGACACTATACAAGTAATTATTGTGCTTGTCGGATCCTCATTTAAGTAGTTAAATGCTGATACATTTTTATTTTTAATTCTGTCAGTTGGGAAAGAGATAGTTGATCTTTGCTTGGATCGTATCAGAAAGCTGGCAGACAACTGCACTGGTCTCCAAGGTTTCCTGGTCTTCAATGCTGTTGGTGGAGGCACTGGTTCTGGTCTTGGTTCACTTCTGCTGGAACGTCTGTCAGTTGACTATGGGAAGAAATCCAAACTTGGATTCACCATCTATCCCTCACCACAGGTCTCAACATCTGTTGTTGAGCCCTACAACAGTGTCCTTTCTACCCACTCGCTTATGGAGCACACTGATGTTGCAGTGTTGCTTGATAACGAGGCCATCTACGATATTTGCAGGCGCTCCCTAGACATTGAGCGTCCCACCTACACCAACCTTAACCGTTTGGTTTCGCAGGTACCACTAATGGCTCCTCTTGGTTTCCTGTGTTACTCTTCGTGTTAACATGAAATTATTTTCGTAACCATCTTACAATGCAGGTTATTTCATCCTTGACCGCTTCTTTGAGGTTTGATGGTGCATTGAATGTTGATATGACTGAGTTCCAAACTAACCTGGTCCCATATCCCAGGATCCACTTCATGCTTTCATCTTATGCCCCTGTTATCTCAGCCGAGAAAGCCTATCACGAGCAGCTTTCAGTAGCAGAGATCACCAACAGTGCATTCGAACCTTCATCAATGATGGCCAAGTGTGACCCGCGCCATGGCAAGTACATGGCTTGTTGTTTGATGTACAGAGGCGACGTGGTTCCCAAAGATGTGAACGCTGCCGTGGCCACTATCAAGACTAAGCGCACCATCCAATTTGTTGACTGGTGCCCAACTGGATTCAAGTGTGGCATCAACTACCAGGCTCCAACTGTTGTTCCTGGCGGTGATCTTGCCAAGGTGCAAAGGGCGGTTTGCATGATCTCGAACTCCACAAGTGTTGCTGAGGTGTTCTCGCGGATTGACCACAAATTTGACCTCATGTATGCTAAGAGGGCTTTCGTGCACTGGTATGTGGGTGAGGGGATGGAGGAAGGTGAATTTTCTGAAGCTCGAGAGGATCTTGCTGCACTTGAGAAGGACTATGAGGAGGTAGGAGCTGAGTCTGCCGAGGGTGATGATGGTGACGAGGGAGATGAGTACTGAGAGGTGAATGTCTTCATTGTTTGCTTCTTAAGGATATTACTATTTGTTTCTATGTTATGGCGGAATCTTCGCTGTTAAGTTGTATTGCTTTTGCTTCTTGTTCTAGATTAGTTCTATTGTCCCATTACAGGCTGCCACTGTAGACTGATAAATATTTGCATTAAGATTTTTTTTTTTTTTTTTGCCATGTTTGATTGACCATGTAAAACGGCTCTGGCTTGGAGTCATTCATCTTGTTTGTTTTGAGATATTATGCGGAGAATTATTCAACATTTTGAGACATACATATTTGGTTGCCGACTTCATACAGTCATATTTATAAAATCTCTAATAATAAAATTTATGAAATTAAAATAGTCCAACAAATCATTGAGCAACGTCACTTTGATATTCAAATCTTAAATTTCAGGAAGGAGAGCCTAAAGAAAATTGATGTCACTTTTGGGTGTCACTCTACTGTTATGGAATGTTAGCCTTAAAGAAAGTTGAACAGATAGGAGACAATTCTGTCACTTTCATATATATCTATACTATATATTAAGCAAAAAGGAGTTTTTAACCCCCGAGGCCTATGAGAGTTTCAATATCTCAATCTGAATTTTTTAAATTTTTTATTTAAAAAAAAAAACTCAGCATTTATTGATTTTGTCAAAATCTCTTGATCAGCATTTATTAATTTTTTTCAATGCACATGTCTTTCCACATGTCTGCATTTATTGATTTGGTCAAAATCATTTGATCAGCATTTAAAATTCCCTCAGACAAATAATTATAAATACAATCCGTGTATAGTTACTGTAGTACCCGTTCAACTTGTAGTACCCGTTCAACTTCTCCCATATACTATGGTGAGTAATAAGATTGTTAAATTATTTTTATAAAAAATCTTAAAAAATATAATTTATATATTAAAAAAAATCTAAAACAAATATAAATATCTATAATTATTCCGTGCATATCACGGGTGATAGGTTAGTATATATATATTTATGAAGGGCTCAGTTTCAAAGGTTTCCGTAAGGCCTTGAATAACCCGGGGTTGGCCCTGTGTGATGTAAATATATGGGTGAATTTTTTTTTTAATATTTTAATAGACAATCTCAATATTATAATATATATATATGCAACTAATCGACTTGTTTCACACTAAATTTTACTACTTTTGGTGAGAAATGAAACATATACAATATGAGAGTTCTATTTATCACAATTTCTTGGGTAATTCTATTTTCACACATCATTTTATTATATGTACATATCATTTTTTAATACACACACTTATAAATTTATTTACCTTTCGTTTTACCCATTCCACAAACCAAATGTGCTATAATATGTGCACACATGAACATAAAAGTCCAACACATTATGTATAAACCCATACTACACCCCTAAATGTAAATTGAAATTGTGCCCTACAGACACGATATTTTTCAACACTCTCCGGCAATATTCCCACGATTAAAGCACATTTTTTTATATACCAACTTTGTAACTTTTACAGGAGCACCATTATATTCTCTATGACACTAGGATCCTTATTTTTAAGTATTTCTCAACTTTCTTAATGCCGTAGAATTATCAAGTCCTAAACTTGGTTTCTTATATGATTTTCATTGGTGATTCATCCACTTTTTCCTAATAAAATTTTTCTTCTAATGGTCGATAGAACTTATAGTTTGATTATTGATTACTGAACTGGCAATTCTAATTGAGTACAACCTTTAATGCATTGATATACATTTTTTTCATAGCAAAAATGCTAGTGTAGTGTCTCTTTGTTTTGGGTACTTTCATTTAATGCATTGATATTCAATTTTTATTTGTAAACTCATCAAAAAATTGTTATTACAAATATATAAAATGAATCTGATGCCTAAATTCGCTGGGAAAAAAAAAACTTGAAAATTAACTTTTAAAGAAAAAAGTGTAAACCGCAAACCGCCCGCAACCACCCGCACATTTGCAAACCCTATCTGCACAAACCGCAAACCGCACTGCGGGCGGTTGCGGGTTGACTTTTTCCCAAACCGCATAGATGCGGACGAGTCAAAACCGAACCACAAACCGCACAAAACCGATCCGCGAACACCCCTACATACAATTGTGCCTAGAGTTGCGTCACACCATTAGTTAATATCTAAAATCAATGGAAAGTTCTTTTTGTAACTCCAAAGACCCATGATTCCTACATAAATATATCAAACTATCAGAATAAGGCATCTCTGTCCTCAATCTTGAATACTTTAGAGATCATTAAACAAGATTTTGTTCTTCTCCACTTCCTAAACAGAATGGAGATGATCATTTCATTTCATAAGTATGTAAAACAATCAAAATTTAAAATCATTAACTTATAATAGCCATATGATTAGAAGTTTTAAAATGTCTTTTAACTGACTTCTAAATTTAAAACAAAACTTTGTTGATGTAAATTTTTCGTAGTCATTGATCATGAAATGAAGATCTTTATTCTATCAATAAAATGGAGAAGGTTTTAAATCATATCATAAAAATAAAAGAACTCCAAACTTGAGCCTCACAGCCTTATACCGGCACCACATCGATGCGCACTGATAATTTTGTGTGTCTTGTGTAGGTGCTCTATCCTTATTCGCGCTATGAGAAAATCTATTAAGTGTGTTGAGAAATAATAGGATAATTATGAACTTTGAAAAACATTAGACTGCAAAGTAATGATGGCAAAAAATAACTTCGGAGTAATACTAATCGATAATAAATATAATATAAACTTCACTTCTAAGATATAACCAAATTTTCATAATAATTTAGTAATTGTCACATATACAAATAGAATTATATGATAACATATCATTAGATAGTAATATCATTCCCAAAAAAAAAAAAAAATTTACAATTAGCTACTTGGTCTTCCTCCACTAATTAATCCACAATAGCAAATATCTATAAAAAATGTTATAGGTCCCAAATTTTCTACTAAATAGATGATCAAATAAGCTTAAAAAACAGAACAAATGACCAAATGTCTCACATAGATATGGGATTTAAAAAATTACAAATCATACACCCATGTGAGATATTTGTTCATTTATTTGATAGAAAATTTGATATTCTTAACATTACCCAATATCTATTCACACTAAAAATAAAATAAAATAAGACGAAGCTACATAGGTAGAATCATAGATTGGAAGAAAATAGAATCATCATGAGAATGGCTCTCTATTTCAACCAAAAAAATAAAAAATCAAAATGAAGTTTAAAATTTCCCTCAAACATCTCCCGGACTTTGCGGCCGGTCAGGTGGTGTGGTTGCATCTTTTAGCATATTATTAGCAGTGTAGCAATAATAATAATAATAATAATAATAGAGTTGTCTCATATGTCATCAGATTGCCATATGTTGAGTGAAGAATGCCCCATCTATCCAAAATCTTCAATTTTTGGGGGGACTTCCAATTGACAAATCTTATAATGGTTGGTAAGGATTATATGATTGTATTGGCAGTATTCATTTACTTATATTTGTAATTTTTTATTGATTGATATCACTCAAATGGTGTTACTGCAAAGATGCAAAAACTAGAATTTGTGATGTTTTTCTTGCTTGTAATTGGTGTGTTATTACTTATGAAGATGTAAAGCTAGTATATATATATTTAAAAGAAGCTTTCGAAAAATTGTTAGAAAAGCACAGCAAGAACATGTCGACCAGAATAGGCCGAGCTGATCAGAGGTGGTGTGCCTAAACCGAGACTGAGTTGACCAAAAATGGAGTGACCGAACCGACTATAGTGACCGAACTGATCAGAACAGAAGTGGCCGAACTGATCAGAGTAGGAACCATCGAGCTAATCAGATAATTGACTTGGAAACTGAACTATAACTATTCCTAAAGTCATGCATACAATTGTGCCTAGAGTTGCGTCACACCATTAGTTAATATCTAAAATCAATGGAAAGTTCTTTTTGTAACTCCAAAGACCCATGGTTCCTACATAAATATATCAAACTATCAGAATAAGGCATGTCTGACCTCAATCTTGAATACTTTAGAGATCATTAAACAAGATTTTGTTCTTCTCCACTTCATAAACAGAATGGAGATGTTCATTTCATTTCTTAAGCATGTAAAACAATCAAAATTTAAAATCATTAACTTATAATAACCATATAATTAGAAGTTTTAAAATGTCTTTTAACTGACTTCTAAATTTAATATAAAACTTTGTTGATGTTAATTTTTCGTAGTCATTGATCATGAAATGAAGATCTTTATTCTTTCAATAAAATGGAGAAGGTTTTAAATCATATCATAAAAATAAAAGAACTCCAAACTTGAGCCTTACAGCCTTATACGGGCACCACATCGACGCACTCTGATAATTTTGTGTGTCTAATGTGGGTGCTCTATCCTTAATTCGTGCTTTGAGAAAATCTATATAAGTGTGTTGAGAAATAATGAAATAATTATGGACTTTGAAAAATATTAGACTGGAAAGTAATGATGGCAAAAAATAATTTCAGAGTAATACTAATCGATAATAAATACAATATAAACTTCACTTCTAAGATATAACCAAATTTTTATAATAATTTAGTAATTGTCACGTATACAAACAGAATTATATGATAACATATCATTAGATAGTAATATCATTCCCAAAAAAAAAAAAATTCACAATTAGCTACTTGGTCTTCCTCCAGTGATTAATCCACAATAGCAAATATCTATAAAAAATGTTATAGGTCCCAAATTTTCTACTAAATAGATGATCAAATAAGCTTAAAAAACAGAACAAATGACCAAATGTCTCACATAGATATGGGATTTAAAAAATTACAAATCATACACCCATGTGAGATATTTGTTCATTTATTTGATAGAAAATTTGATATTCTTAACATTACCCAATATCTATTCACACTAAAAATAAAATAAAATAAGACGAAGCTACATAGGTAGAATCATAGATTGGAAGAAAATAGAATCATCATGAGAATGGCTCTCTATTTCAACCAAAAAAATAAAAAATCAAAATGAAGTTTAAAATTTCCCTCAAACATCTCCCGGACTTTGCGGCCGGTCAGGTGGTGTGGTTGCATCTTTTAGCATATTATTAGCAGTGTAGCAATAATAATAACAACAATAATAATGGAGAGAGTTGTCTCATATGTCATCAGATGGCCAAATGTTGAGTGAAGAATGCCCCATCTATCCAAAATCTTCAATTTTGGGGGGGACTTCCAATTGACAAATCTTATAATGGTTGGTGAGGATTATATGATTGCATTGGCAGTATA